CTGGAGCTTTGAAGACCCACTGTATAAACACACAAGTGATACACAGTACATTTTTATATCATAGGGAATCTACCTTTTTTCTCATACTTCTAGACATTTTTCTATACTAGAGCCCTTCTACTTGCCCTCAGTCTTAACCCTCATGCCTAAAGCAGCAGTCCTACTTTTTGCATGGAACTCCTCAACTCTATTTAAGTTTAGCAGCATCTCCCTTCAGCTAGTCCTGCCTCTGCTACTATGCCTTTCAACCCTAAGCCTTCAACACAGTTCTCTATGCTGGGTTATCCTACCTTGTACAACCAACAACTTCATAAGAACGAAGGACTGGGCCTGGCCTTCTTAGCCCTATCAAACTTTCTTTTTCCATCTGGAGTATTCAAGTGTTCAAGCCCTCTATGAATTGGAATGTGATGTTAATGGTCAAACTGAAACCAAAAACAGAATAAAAACAACATAGCTCCTCAGCTCTGTTGTATATATCTACTATATACTTTTATATGCGAAAACAAACCAAACTTTGTCCCTGTGTATCAACTTATCCTTCTTTCAAATATTTTCTCAAAAGTTGATGAGCAAGAAAGCAGAGTTTAATGAATATAGTTTTTTCAACTTTCTATCTCTAAATTGGGGAAGATAAATCATTCTGAGTTATCTTGCTATATAATATCAATCCCTATGCTGTTGTACCACTATAAAACAATGACAAATGCACCTCATGGGGAAACAACCCCTAAACCCATTGCAACATGAAAATATTGTAAATTGAAAATTTACTGCATAATCACTAGACGAGGAAAAGATAAAAATTCAAAGTGTGCTTTCTGCTGAATGTTTACCAATTTTGTACCATCATGTAGTTAAGGAAAAAAAATCCAAATACAAACCATCATTAGTTAGGGACCATAAGTTGGGTACCATCTGTATTTGTATTCTTGGTTAGATGCTCCTGGAGTATGATAATTAGATAGTTGGATTAAATGATGTCAATAAATTTTCCTGATTTGAGCACTAAAATCTTTTTTGCTGTTTCTACTTTACTGAACACAGTAAAATTTCAGCTGAGAATAGTAAGAAGGGCATTTTAAATGTTAGGCAATGGAAACCAGAACTATAGCACTACACTATTTAAGTTTCTATGTGTAATTATTCTATCTTTTATCAGCTACAGGGACTTTAAGTCCACTTGTAGGGACAAGAGGACTTAATTTTGTTTGAAATACATTTAATTTTGTTTTTAAAGTGAATCTCCGTAATTACAAAAAAGAAAAATGAAACTAGTTTCTTTATTATGACCTTCAGTCAGAATGATGAGTAGTATTTAATTTCGGAAAAGTATTTTTTAAAAACCGTTATGTCAAATTACTGACTTCTCTTCTCAGATTAGAACTTATATTTCAGCATTAAAATATACTCTGAGGGGCTAGGGTTGTGGCTCAGTGGTAGAGCACTTGCGTAGCACATGTGAGGTGCTGGGTTCAATCCTCAGCATCACAAAAAAATAAAGAATAAAGGTATTGTGTCCACCTACAACTAAATTTTTTTTTTTAAAAAAAACTTGTTCACAAATTTAAAAAAAAATACACTCTGAATCCAAAAATCCTTGAATTAATTTTCTCCTAATGCACTGAACTAAATTGCCAATATATTATCCTGGTGTATAGAAAGTACTTGTAAAGAAATATAAATTACATGTATGAAGATGTGAGGAAAAAAAAGAATAGCATCATCTTAGATTGGGTAAAGAGATGTGAGGGGAAGGGAGGGGAAGGGATGAGGGAAAGGGATGGGGGGAAAGGAAGAATAATGGAATGAAATAGACATAATTATTGCTGTGTGTATATATGTGACTGCATGACCAATGTGATTCTGAAACCTGTACACTCAGAAAAATGAGAAAATTATATCCCATCTGATTCAAATGTAAAAAGAGAAGAAATGTAAATTATAAATTATATAAAAATTATAAATTATAGCAGTTACTATCTATTCATTTTCTATATAACTATGTTCCTTACACCAAAAAGTTTAAATATCACTTACCAAAGCTTAAGTCTTTTTAATTACAATGGTGGCTATAAGGTCATTGTGCTTTAAAAGCATGCTTCTGTGCTTGCTAATTCTGTGACTTCTACCTGTCTAAACTTAAAATAATCTGGGGATATTTAAAACAATCCAAAGCTCATGTCATATTCTGGAAAAATTAAATGGTGTGCCTGGGACACACACATTCATAGTTTTTGAAAATTCTCATATGATTCCAACATGCTGACCAGCTTGAGAGGCGCTGCATCAATGGACCTGTTTCCAAGCAAACTTCTGTTCATCTTTCCTATCTCAAGAGATTTCTGATGCTGTCCCTGCAGGTCCTAGGCTTTCTGCTATTCCTCTTGCATCTCTCTACATTAGCAAGCTTTAAGGATGCTTTAACTATTCATGTGCATGCTTATTTCTCCAATCTGCTATAAGATTCCAGAATATTTTTGTTTTTGAACTCCGGGTCTAGCACTGTGCCTGTTTTATAGATATACTCAATATACCCATGGGATGAATAACGTTTTCCTAAGAAAAACAAAAAATAAAATATAGAGTTGTGTTGATATTTAAGTGTGCCTCCTGTAAACTTTTACATGCTATATAGAACCAAATTTTGTCCCTGGATAATCAAGTTGTGCTATTTTTAAATACATTTTTTGGAAAAAATAATAATTTCAGATGTTCAGGATGATGTTTCACTGGTAGGCAATGTCCCATATTTAGGAAAACATTTAATTATATCAGTGAAAAATCAGTGAAAATAAAACTATCTCCCAACATCAAAAAGAGTAATATAGCTGAATTATCCACAAAATTGAATTCATTCTTATGATAAGCACAAAAGAATACTTCCTGACATAAGAAGTATCTAAAACCATCCATTCTTTCTCTGCTATTTTTCTATTATTAGTGGACTGTGTATTGTTTTCAGATTAATGCTTTCAAAATTATTTGATGTTGCACAGGCTTATGAAACTTATCTGAAAAGTATGTATGTATATATGTATATGTGTATTTATTTATTTAATTGCGGATTGAACCCAGGGATGCTCTACCATGAGCTACATTCTCCAGCCCATTTTTTATTTTGAAACATGCTCTTGCTAAATTTCCCAGGCTGGCCTCCAACTTGTGATCCTCTTGCCTTAGCCTCTGGAGTCACTGGGATTACAGGACTGTGCCACCATGCATGGCCTGATTTAAAAGTTTAAAGTACATAGTTTACAAATGTATTATATAAGAGTCTATACTTACTGAGGCACTCAACACTGTTAAAATGATTATTACAATTCAAAAAATATTCATGTAGTAAATTTTGTTACAACCTAATCCTAGACAATAAACCCAATCTTAAACACATGTTTTTTAAAAAGCTGTTTAAAATATTTTGCTCTTTGGTTTGCCTAATTATTTTATATTAGCAGCAATGTTTCACAACCTAACAATATGTTGCTTTTTATCTACTAGGTTTCCATGCATGAAGCTTGAAAATAAATTAGATTTAGGAACTGTTCTCCAAAATAGTAATATATTTCTCATTTACCTCGTTTATCATATACATGAAGTGCTGGATTATCTCATTAGACATCAAATTAAAGACCTTACCAAGTAGGTATTCAATATGCACATATTCTGAAGGCATATAAAAATAAAATTGAGAGAAAAAGTTTAATCTTCCACTTTAAGTGACTATATTGTGATCTACCACTGTTAACCAGTATTTTATTTTAGTATACTAATTAAGTACAACTAATTTTAAAAGGCAGGGATTGAAAACATACTTATTCTCCTTTCCATAAAGTTGTGACTTTACACCATAAATACAATATCTCTAGAAACTGTCCAAGTTTTACAAGAAATGAGTTCTGAAGATATTATCAATTGTGAAAAACACGAAAGATCACAGCTCCTAATATGCAGTTTTAGTGTCAAGTTCTCAGAGCTGTGAATAAGACAACTATTCCAAGTGAGCTCCAGTTGTAAAGAACACAAAGTTGAATTTCTTTTGCTATGCAAACAAGGCACAAGGGACAGGCACATTTTGAATAACAGCTAGCTTTACACATTTGTTTGGATCGAAAGCAGAGGACAATTTTAAAGTTGGCTTTTGTCAGCCATCTATCAGATATTGGCTGGTGTCCTTTCTCAAGTTCTCTTCTGCTTTCTTGTCAAAAACAGACACGTAGAATCCTCTGAATCATTCCTTTTGTGAAGGACCACTGGGGTATTTCTGCCACCACAGGCCAGGGGTCACAGGGTAAGCAAAGTCAAAGGAAGACCTAGGTGATTGGAGTTTCTAGGGGCCAGAAGGAGTTTGGGCCTCTTCCTGTCCCTAGAAACTCGCTCCTTCCTTAGACCTAACAACTAAAGGTGACAAAGAAACCCCCAAATCCTGGCTCCGTTCTTAGTGCTATAAAAGCATTGTCCACTGTCCCTTTCTATCACTCGCCACCCAGCCAGCCACCAATGAGAGGGGGCAAGAATAATTTCTAGGGGTAACATACGCCCAAAACAGCAGAAGCTGTGTCTACCTGGAAAACAGGAGAAGCAGAAAGAGCGGGGGAGGCCTGGCTTCCTTGGCAGCGCCCCCTCCATCCAGTATAAAACCTGAGGGCATGGTATCCCAAGAGGTGGGTGGGCAGGTGGGTGCGGGACTGAAAGGTTGGAGGGAATCGAGGAGTCACGAAGCCTCCTCCGGTAGGGACCGCCTCCTTTCCGAGTGGCCTCCCCTCGGTTTGTTCTGAATTAGTAAGACGAAGCTCAGGCCAAACAGCCGCCCCCGCCAGCCGACTCTGCTTGGGAGGGAGCATCCCGGGGGAGCGGGGGGCTGAGCCGCGGAGAAGGCCATTTGGCCAGAAGGGGGAGTTCCGACAGTGTTCCCTCGCGCCTCGGTCTGCCTCGCACTAGGAAAAGCTTCCATCGCCATGGTCCACACCACGGCATCCACCTGAGGTTCGTTTCGCTCCTCAGGGCCTGTGAGGGGCGGTTCCCACGGCTTTCTCCCCTTCCAGGCTCGCGGTACCCCTCCGGAGTCCGCTTGGTTGGGTCCGAGGCGGGGCGGGCAGGGCGCTCCACGTGCGGTGGCGAGCCCTGCGCCGGGACTCCGGCGGCTTCTCAGCCTCAGCCACCACCTCGGGCGGGCTAGGGACTGAGCCTCGGGGGCGGGCCGGGGCGGAGCCATGGGGGGCGGGCCGGGAGGCGAGGTGGGGCGGGGCGGGGCGGGCGCGCAGCGCTCGTCTAGCAGCCCGAGCCTAGGGGCCGAAAGGAGCGGGCAGGCTCGGCGCCGGCAGGAAGAAACCGAGAGCTGAGGAGGGTCCGACTCCTGGCGCTCGGGACTTTTTAGAGGTAAGAGTAGGAACCCAGAGCCTGGGGCCTCCTAGTCCAACCCCTCGCCTGGGCACCGCGCCCCGGCCGCCGGCTGGGTCCCGTGTCGGCCGGACCGTGGCCGCCGCGACTGGACGGGTTTCGGGAGGGTTTCTCGAAGTCACCAGTCCCGGCGAAGGCAGTGTCCCCCTCTCCGCGTCTTTCTTCTTCTAGCTCCCTCGGGTCTAGGCGTCGGGCACCGGGCGAGCAGGTCGCCTCGGCGAGTTGGAGCTCGCCCACGCCGGGGCGGGAGGACGGGGCCCCGGGGCAGCAGAGCCTGGCAGCGGGGGAGGCGCGGAGCTCCCGGGCCGCCTCTGCGGAGGGCGGGAGACCGGTCGCGACTGCGGGCTGCGTTCCTGGGCTCCGTGCGCCGTGCCTCGTCCCCCGGATCACTGGGCTCCGGAGGTTGCAGGGCTCGGTGGTGTCTCCGACGCTCTGTTCTAGGGCTCTTGCCTGTCGCTCTCCGTCGCTGTGAAGGGGACCAGCATCTGAGCCCGCATTCCTGGGGGCTGTGCGGTGCCGCCTGTTGTGTGCGCCTGGAGGCCGGGCAGCCCGGCTTCGGGAAAGGACCGGAGCGCAGCGTCTGCTCCGTTGACCCTGAAAGTGCCTAGTTGGGGAAACCCAACTCCGGTGTGGAGCTCGTGGGCGCCTGAAGGGGATCTCGGGGATATACGACTTGGGGGCGCGGCCTGCAGAATTTGGGTTTCTGGAGGAGTTTGCGGCCCGTAGGCCGGGCGTCAGGCAAAGAAGACCACCAGTTTACCCTCCGGGCTGGCCGGTCAGGCACTGTCAGGTATGGACACCTGGGGCCACCCGTGGGAGGTCCACAAGGATTAAAACAATTAAAACAACACCTCGAGTCCCAGGATGGCATAGCCTAATAGTGGGGCATTTTCTAAGATATGAATAGATGGAAAACTGTCAAAACTAATATATTTTAAAGTTGAAATGAAAGCTTGCAAAATTTTGGGGCCGTACAGTTGTGTAGCTAGTGCCTAAAGAAATATTAGGTCATTGACTCCCTTCTACCCTTTTTCGTTTTTGTTTTTATTTTAGCAAAGAATCTGTTTTGCCAGTATTTTCCTCAGGAGTTGTGCATTACCCACAGCAGGGAAGAAAAACTTAACAATTCTCAGGTTGCTTTTGACTTAAAGTCTGTGCTCTCGCACTTCTAAATGTAGAGGAAAAAGTATTTCTTGCTGTATTTTCTATGCATGATTCCTTCTCTTCTTCTCAAGGACCCGGTGATATTTGTTAATTGGTTTTATAAGCATCTATTTAAATGTAGTTTTTGAACGAAATACTCCCATTTGCCACAGGGTGTAGTTTGGGGATTAGAAAATGCTGTTGGAGAAAGCTGCTAGTGGCTTCATTTTCCAAGAATGTAAGTCATTTCCTTTCTGTGATTTCAGGGAGTTGATATTTCACAGCATCAGAACTTTGTGGGGAAAATTTTCCGTAATACATCTGTCATTAAAAAGGCTTTTGGGTTTCCTTCCTAAGAGCAGAGCATAAATTTAAGCCAAGCAATGTTAAAATATAAGAAGTTTTTTAGCATCTAGAGCATTATAAGACTACTGTAGAAATAAATTTTAACAACCGAGACCTACAAATGGTCTGCAGGATGTAGAGTGGGGGAGGGGAGAAGACCAGAAAAAGGCAGGAAAACAGATGCCTTTGCTTTTGTCCTCTGTAGTATAAAACTTGTAGCACCTAATCATTTTCCTTGGTGTAGTTTTGGGAAATAAAAGGTTTATGTTAAAAAAGAAAATACTTCACAATATGAGACAACTGACATTTGAATGCCTTTTTAGTATGTTTGTAAACATATTGGATTCATATTTCATATTAATGTGGACCTTTGGTAGGATTATTAGATATAAAGGGTCCCTGAGGGGATATCGCATATCAGGTTATCTGCAGGATATCTTCTTCAGAAAGCAGACTGGCTGTAATATGAACTTACCCCACACCCCCCATATGCCCCTTTGAATTGCTTGTAAGAATCCCTGAGATCTGACATTGATGGGCCACAGTAATCAGCAGTTCTTGCAGTGCTCAAAACATTTTGAGGGACAGGAAATCTTTCTCTATATCCAGTCCCTCCTTTTGGTGGGTATTAGGGGTAAGTACACAATTTGAACTTGCAGATTTAAGATGCCCCTGGTTCTACAGAAAAAAAGCCTGAAAATGACATGGGCTAGGATACAGACACTGCTTTTAAAAACAAATGCCACTGTGCCAGGTAACAGTTTTTAGCTACAAGTTCCTTAAAAACTATCATTAGACTGGGCTAGCTGAATTAGGGGTGTTATAGAGCTTTTTCTAGATTCTGGATCCTGTTTCCACCTTTAACTATGTTTATAAAGCTTTTGGATTTCAGAACTTATGACATAATAGACTGTGTACCCTTTTGTGGCAGATACTTGGAATGAGAGTTTCAAACAGAACTGTTTTTGACTGAGCTGTCAGTTTTAGAGTTTATTGCAAATGAATCCTGTCTCACAACTAACTTTTTTTGATAAAGGAATTCTTTGTAGTTTTCAACTTGGATATTGCACATTTTGATTTCTAAAGATGTGTTTTTTTTTAAATAAAACCTGCAAACAATTATTTTATTACATGAAAGCCAGTACCAAGAAAAGATTAATTCAATCCAGATGTAAAAATGTATGTGAATTTTAAATTTGGATGATCTCAACAAGTTTTCTTTTTGTTGATGAGGCTGCCTGGATCCCAGATGGCATTCACAAATTATCCCTTAGGTTGTATTCTGAATTGAGTACAAATTTCATGGGCATTCTCTAAAAATAATTTTATCATGGTTTTAAGTCTTTAAAAGGTAGAAAGTGGAGATGCATTTTTTTTTTTATTATTCATTAATACGTACTTCATAATGCTCTAGTCTGGTACATGAAGCCTGTTTCTCAAGTGGGAAAATGAGTTATTTAGTATTTTGTATCCTTATGGGCAAAGTATAGTGACTTTCTTTTTTATTTGTGCAATTTCAACTTTTTCCTTTTACAGGAAAAAAAAGTTTTTTTAGTCTTCAATGGAATTCTGCTGCAGTATAGTTTGTGATTTCAGGTGAAGCAATTAGTTCTTGTATGAAGATCCTCAATCCTCTGTGGCCTTCTTACCCCTGACAACAAACAACAAACACAACTTATAAGAAAACTTCAGTGTATTTTTTAATCTGTATCCCTAACACTGGAATTTTAAATGGTATTTGTGGCATACTTACAATTATATATTTTTAGGAAGTCTTTGTATGATTATATATATAATTACACATTTTGAGAGTTTGCTACATTGTGATTGTGTGTAAAACAGAAGGAGGAATAGGAAAAATTTAGGGAAGGAATTTATGATAATGAAATTTTAGTTAAAATATATCCTTCCTAAACCTAAGCAAGAAAAATGGTATTGTTGGCCTCTGTGGTTAAACTTCAATGTAGGGGGTAGTCTTTTTGAATTGTACCTTATCCTGGGGTAGAGACTTTGGGGGGGGCTATAAAAATAAGTAAAAACAAGCTAACGAGATAATTTGAGAGGAAGGAGGAAGTAGAATACTGGGCATTGAGTTGCAAGGAAAATTTAAACTTAGAAGGATAAGTATTTAAAACAAGGCTGAGGTAGGAAGAATTTTAATTTAGATGTGGGAATTAAAGATTGAGATCTTCTTTAGTTGAGGAAAAAGGACTAAATGATTGGAATTGAGCTGCCTATAAGCATGGAATAGGTTTTCTGGTTGATATTTGCCTTGGAAACCTTGTCTCCCTTAGTGTTGTGTTGAATCACTAGTTTGATGTTAAATAATGTGCGGAGTCTGGGTGCTTATTACTGTCCCCTACCTCCACCAAAAGCCAGTTCCTGTTTCAAAGATTGGGAACATATTTTGTCTAAGAGCTAATGATGAAACAAATACAAATATTTAATTAGTCCCGCAGCATTTGGGGAAGCTACCAATGCCTCCCTCCTATGCTGTGGGACCAAAGGGACTCTATAGCAGTAATAGCTGAAGTTATTATAAAGTTTTGAGTAAAAAATTAGCAATCTGTATTTCTCATTATCTTATGTATTTTGGTGTATAATTACTTCTGATGCAAGTTTGTATACTATCACTTTTTATATGAATCATATTGAGCAATCATGCAGTATACCATACTGATCAAAGAGGGATTACAGAATACTGAGAATGGCAAAGAATTCATTGATCTGACAATTGGTCATATTACCTCATCAAGATGAAAATCTTATAAAAAAATTCCCAGATGAACCCACTGTAGTCCAAAGGAGAAGGCAGTGCTTTTCTGAACGTTCTTTTGAGTTGTATAGCATTTTCTTGAATGTCTTTCCCCACCTGTGGCCTTATCAGTAGAGTTCAATCTCTACAGCAGGACACTTGGTAGAGACTGGGTCATTACTGAGGTCCTTGCATTAATGTGGTGATAGTTTGGATGATTTTTAGACCCTTAGTATTCTAGGTATTTTCAGATGTTTTCCTGTTTTTTTTTTTATTTTATATAAAGCAACACCTTATATTAATTGATAGCCATAGTTTTATGTGAGAGAAGAATTCATTGTAAGAATGAATTCTGGAAGAAGATTTTAGGAAATGCATTGAAGATGCACACTGAGCTTTCTAGGTGGTTCTCTTTCTGGTCACATTAAATGATACACTTGTGGTATATCATTTCAGTAGATGTCGTCGTTTCCTCCTCCTCCTCCTCCTCCTCCTCCTCCGGTGGGTACTCCTTGTTTTATTTCTTCAAATTTGTTCTTGAATTATTATATATAGCCAGAAAAATACACAAATCAGAAGCATACATCACAAAGTGATCACATTTGGGTAGCTAGCATCCAAGTCAAGGAACAAAAAACCTCACTGTATGATCATAGTCCTTGTCCCAAGGTTAACTACTGTTCTGACTGCTAATGTCATAGGTTAATCTGTTCTTGGACTGAATTTAAATTCAATCAAACATAAGATGTTGTTTTTGGTATCTTCTTTAGCTCAATATAATGCCATGTAATATGTCCAAATTGATAAAAATAGCAACAATTCTTTTTTTTATTTCTGTGGATGAATATACCCAATTTATTTATCCATTCAGCTGATGAACATTTGGGTAGTTTGGGTCTAATATTGTTGGGTAACCTTTTGATGGATCTTAAAGTTAACACTTTAGGTTGGAAGGAGAGCACAGTTTTAAGATTAACAAAGTAACTTCCAAAATTTTTTTCAGAATAGTCCATTCTTTAAAAAAAGAAAAAAGCTGCAAAGAAGATTCATTTTTTGCATTCTTCCTATGTTTATGCTTCTCCCCTCTACAAAGTTCTTTGCTTACTCTACACCACCCCCTCCCAATGAAGTTATCTTTTCTTAAATACTCATGGAAACATCCAGTCTTTACCCAAAATAGCAGTGAAATTCTGATGTTAAAGTCTGTGGTAGTCCCCAGAAAGTACTTAATATAAAACATAGGATTATGATTTCACTGAGAGATCTAATAGAGAAAACAAAGTGCTTGCAAAGGATGACTATTTGTACAGATATTTTATTTCATTTTTACCTAAAGAATAAAGGAGATTTCGTTATTCAAGAAAAGGGTCAGCCTTTTAGCTTAGGATCGTTAAAAGGTGAAAAAAGTATAAAATTATAGATGTTTTATAAGTTTGTTGTAAATATATCCTGCTTGGATGAGATACTGCTTACAACAGCAGAATTTAGCATGTATAATGTTAGATTTTTTTTTTAAAGAGAGAGAGAATTTTTTAATATTTATTTTTCAGTTTTCAGTGGACACAACATCTTTATTTTATTTTTATGAGGATGGAACCCAGCACCCCGCGCATGCCAGGTGAGCGCGTTACTGCTTTAGCCACATCCCCAGCCCAGATTTTTTTCTTTTAAACATGCTGATCATAGATCCACTTGGATAGGTTGCTCAGTGAATTATAAAGGTATATTATATCTTGAACATAGAAGAGAGGCAAAAAAGTAAAGAGATCTTTGAGATCAGTCTTCTGGGATCCAAATCCAGTTCTTTTATTCTCCATTATTATATAACTTTGGGAAAGTTACTTCAACTCTCTGAACCTCTTTCTTAATCTGTAAAACCATGGGTAATAATAGTAACTATGCTACAGAGTTGTTTCAATTATTAAATGAAATGGTACACATAAAACAACTGGCCTGGTCTTTGCCACATAGTAAAAAGTCAATAAATATTGGCTATTATTACATAAGACAAAAAGAAATTATATATAGAAAGATTTGTGTATTTTTAGAAGTCTCTGAGCCTTTGTTTATCAGAAATTCATGGGGGTGTGTGTGTTTGTGTGTGTGTGTGTGTGTATGTGTGTGTGTATTTATTTATTCATGACATTAAGCAGGGGAAAAAAACCTAGTATTTCTCAGTTACATATGTTGGAAATCATTATATTGCTGTATAAGGAACAGCTGGCCTGTCCCTCATCACTAATTGATTTGAGTTATTTTTTTCCTAATTCCCAGCCATCTTGGTCCCCCTGGCTTCTGCCTGCTAGATAATTGTTTTTTTTTGCAGATGCCAACAAGCAAATCCACAGATTTAAATTCTCTTTGTGGTGATTAATGATGTGTAAAGTACTTATAAACTTAAAGAGTACTGGTGACCCAGGTCTTCTGCTCATGTACTCTGTAGTTTCATGTGAGTCCTTTTAAAGAAAGCAGCTATGGGTGTGGGGCAGTTGTTTATTCCTCCCACTTCCCTGCCAATATTGACAGTTTATATAATGTGAGTCAAATCCTTTATGATTTTTGTTATGAGGCTCAGAGTTTAAGATTTTAAACCATTAATTCAAAGAAAATTAATAGTCGAAAGTTTCAAAGGGAGCATTTAAGAAAAAGGAACTTAAGCATGTTAGAAAGACACACTTACATCTAAATAGCATAATTACAAGCTCAGCCAAATAGACATAGGATCCTCTAGATG